TAACTTAAATGAAGGGAAAAAAATGATTGTCTTTATTTCCTGAAGCCTTTGTGAAAGCCAAGATGAGCAACACTCAAGCTGAGACGTCCATAATAGGCATGATCGACATGTTTCACAAATACACCAGACGTGATGACAAGATTGACAAGCCAAGCCTGCTGACGATGATGAAGGAGAACTTCCCCAACTTCCTCAGTGCCTGTGTGAGTCGGGGTTTAGCTTCTCAATGTTGGTTGGACGCTGGCATGGCTGAGGATATATTTTACTATGTGTCTTTGGACGGGTCACCCTCATCCTCTGATTAAAACATTTCCCATTTGCAAATTTATTGCTTGGATCATATGGGAATCTAAGGATGATAGGCAAAAAAGTATGAAAATGGGAAAGAGTTATACAGATATAAATGAGGTTATGAGATGGTCAGCAAAGTGTGCAGCTTGAGGGCGGTGCACAGTCCCCTCCCAGTGCTCACTGACCCCCTCTCTGTGAGACTGAAACTCACATGCTCAGGTCCTGCTTCCCAAAGGCCCCACATCAACATCCTTGAGATTAATGGGAAAGCACTGGAAGTTCCATTGCTAGTAGAAATCAATAGCCCTCTTTGCAATAAACAAGACTCATTAGCAAATCTGAAAAAAAAATTGTGGGCTACTAGGTACCAAAGGGTCTAGACGACCAAGAGTAGGGAACCCAGAAGACGAGTTTGGTGGAAAAAGAGAAGAAAGGAGAGGAGGTCAGAGAAAGAAGAGAACGAAGGATGAGGGCCAATTTGGGAGCCCTGGGGTAGAACTAAGGTAGCCAGTGCCCTTAAAGGCTGGGGACAGGTGAGAGTGAGGCTGAGGCAGGGGACTGCTCTCCCCAAGGTCACTTAACAGAGCGCCTCGGGACAAGACCTGCCTCCCACCTGAGGTTTGAGACAAGAAGTCTCCCTAGAGAACTCCAGGGATAACATTCACATCCTCACCCCAACGTCACTCACTCACCCTGCACTCCCAGCCCTGCCACGACGCCTGTGCAGATCTAGGCATTTGTCTCTGTCTCTGCCTCCTCCTCTCCCCTCCCAGCCCGAAACTTGTTTGTGATTGAATTTTTCTTGTTTGTATGTTTTTCTCTTCACAGGACAAAAAGGGCATACATTACCTGACCAATGTCTTTGAGAGAAAGGACAAGAATGAGGATAAGAAGATTGATTTTTCTGAGTTTCTGTCCTTGCTGGGAGACATAGCCACAGACTACCACAAGCAAAGCCACGGAGGGGCGCCCTGTTCCGGGGGAAGCCAGTGATCCAGCCCCACCCAGGAGCCTCCAGAGACCCCAGGAACAATTAAGTGTCTCCTCCCACCAGACACTTGCCTTATTTCCTTCTTCTCTTTGGTGACCTACATTGTCAAAACTGCCAATTCCAGGCTAACTTTGTTGGAGAATCCCCACCACCCCTATCCAGTGGGTCACCCAGAGTAATGTCCCACCACCAATGTTCTCCCTGTGGCCTCCAGCAGCGCTGAGCTGCCTCTCACACAGGTCCTGGTGTCGGCCTCTGCCCCACTCCCTAAATGCAGCCACCACAGCAGGTTACAGGTGGAAGCTGGTAGAAGGCCTCTGCCAGGTCACAGCAATGCCCCTCCTTGTCAAGGCATGGACCAGGTCATTTGGATGTATTTAGATACTGCACTGAGAAGGAGCTGGCATCTCTCAGTGTGCTCCTGCCCTCCCGCTCCCGCCCCAGCTGTTCTCCAGGGCTTGGGGAAACAGAAACCACTCACATAGGGATTCCTGGATGGCATCAGGCTCAGGGCCCTTGTGACTACGAATGGGAGGCTCAGTAGTTCCCTGAGTATGGGTTCCCTTGTCCTGTGGCCTGGGCTACAAGGTCTGTGTCCTCTCCCTGTGCTGTGTGCTTGTGTGCATGTGCCTATGTGGGTGACCCTGTGGAAGTGAGAGGGAGTCACTCTGATGCTTAGCTGTTCTCCATGATGGTTTGCTAAATGCCAGGACTGGGTTTCTGATGATGAATGAATACTCCAGATTTTGAGGAGCTCAAAGTAGTCCAGGAGTCCAAATAAGGAGTCTGGCCAGAATAAGGCAGCACCATGGAAATGCCCTAAGGACTGACACAGAGAGCTCATGCTGATTGTGATGAGAAATTGCAGCGCCTCTATCTGGCGGGTAATGAGTAGTTTGTTATTGGTAGTCTACTCCAGGCCAGGCACTGTGCTGTGGGCTGAGGATGCAGAAACAAGCAGGACACAGTGCTGTCCTAGCAGAGCGCTGGCGGGTCTCTCCATACAGGCCACAACACAGGGTTAATGTTCACCCAGTGCGACTTCCAGGCCATGTTCCGTGCAGCGGCTCTTAGTATTCCTCCTTCTCTCTTACCACCCTGGTTAGTCTGCTGCTAACCTGTCAGTCAGGCAAACATTCTTCTTGGAGGAATCAGGCAACCATCTCAAAAATTCTCTTTCCATCCGACCAGCAGAAGTGTGTAGGATGCGTTATTTGCTCTTGTGAATGACTGCTGCACTCCACACTCACACCTCTGTTCACAGACCAGCATCTCCTCTCCTCACCAGGAATCTTCCTTCCTGAACATATTCTGCACCTCACCAGCATTCAGGACTGATCTGCAGTTTTCACCTCCAAATCCCAATGTCTGACCATTAGGTTTCTTCTCTCTCCTTCTCCCCCTTTCTCATTCTTATTCCACCTGTTCTTGGAACTCACAGAGACCTGCAGTCCCTGGGATTTCATTTTCTCTTGCCAGTCCCCTGCTGCCTTCTCTGTGCAGCCTGTCCCCCATCATCCACCCCAGAATTGCTCTCTTTCCTCTCTTAGCTCTGTTGCCCACTTTCCTTGGGCCACACCTTCCCTGCAGATCTCCAGCCTAGAACCATCTTCCCCATTTTCCTCCTCTCTCCTCCACCAGGACTGCTGGTCACTGCCCAGAACCGTCATGCCAGGGTCCCAAGGGCAGGTGCCTGACTTCCTGTCTGCCCAGCACTCTCTGAATCCCTCCTGTTCACCCAGCTGCTGTTATTCCAAGTATGCGCAACACATCCCCCGTCAGTATATCTCAGTATTTCATGCCTCTATAGCAGTCTTTCAAATGCTGCCTCTGCCAGAAATGTCTTGTAGTACTTCATCCGTCTCATTCACGTTACATTTCAAGACTGAGCTTTTTATCAATGTCTCTTAGACATTTAGAAGGTGAACCACCATCCCTTCACCCCAAAGAAATGATCTCTGCCTCATTTGCACCTCCCTCACCCTCACCCCGCTCCTACCATAGTGGCTGCATTACCTCAGATTCCCCTTGTGTCTTTCCATCCAGACTTGGAATCATGGGGGGAAAACACTGTTACCTCAGATCTCCTGGTTACCCAGCACACAGCAGTACTGGATCCCAGCTCATAATAAGTACTCTATATTATTTTTTATTATAAAATACTTTTGTGCAAATTCTGGTCAATACCACTTCATGTAAACAGCAGTGCAAAATCTAAAAACTTCCAGCTTGGGAGGCAGCCTGTGCGGCTTAGGAGAGGACTCCAGAATGTGGAACCCAGAATCTGGAACTAGGCCAAAAAGAATAATGCAAGTGACTGAAGAGCTTGACTCAAGCCTTGATCTCCGAAAAGAAGAGAGGTCTCCCTGGGGTGCAGTTGCTGGACTTTCAAGTCCATTTCTAAAGTCCAGAAGGCAACTGGCCATCCCTAATGTGGGCCTGCCTTCCCTTTATATTTATTTATTTATTTATTATTATACTTTAAGTTCTAGGGTACATGTGCACAGCGTGCAGGTTTGTTACATATGTATACATGTGCCAAGTTGGTACGCTGCACTCATTAATTCATCATTTACATTCGGTATATCTCCTAATGCTATCCCTTCCCCCTACCCCAACCCCACGACAGGCCCCGGTGTGTGATGCTCCCCTTCCTGTGTCCAAGTGTTCTCATTGTTCAGTTTCCACCTATGAGTGAGAACATGTGGTGTTTGGTTTTCTATTCTTGCGATAGTTTGCTGAGAATGATGGTTTCCAACTACATCCATGTCCCTACAAAGGACA